TAATTCCCCTAATTTGTCTGCTTGATTTTATTGTTTTCTTTTTTTTCTTTTGCAGATTTATGGTTACGCCTGCATAGCTGTTGGTTTGATTGGATGGTGGCTGATAACAAGCAACATGTTTTTTTTGCTTTGTAGAAAATGTAAAAAATGTGTAACATGTGAAATCTCACTCAGCCATAAGTGTTTGAAGGAATGCTTCTGTGAAAGTGAACCATACTACAAAAGCCGCTTTGAGGAGCTTCTGTCTGAGGAAATGGACAAACAATTGGATGAAACAATGCAAGACATAGCTAAAGAGAGAGTAAAAGGCATAAGTTCAAAGTACAGCGATTCTATTAGATCAAGCCAGCTTAAGAAAGAAACAGACGAAATCTCTGTAAATGTAGACGATTGTTGGTCTGCTATATCAAAGCCAGATTTTTATGAATCACTTCTTTCTCAAGATCTAAGGCCTGTTGCACAAAACCAGTATTGGAATTGACCCTGGTAGATACATGTTTGGGCAAACTCAGAATTTTCGGGCTTAAGATTGTGGGTTGGTTTTGATCAAGTAACTTGCACTGTACGGTTAGCCTGCTTTTTTTTTTTTTCCAAATTAAAGTCTTTTATCCTAAAACCCTTTTGCAGTATAGTTTTTTAGTTGCTAATAATTGGTTTATATTACATTACTTATTATTATATTATTTATTCAAATACTATTTAGCCATTAAATACTTACTATTATTATAACATTTACATTTAAATTTAATCAAGCTTCAATATATAAACCTTTTTAAAGAGCTGGCTTTTGAACTGTTTGAAGTCATTACATTTCTGATAATGATAAATGAGGAGGAGGTTGTATCCCAATCATTACATTTTTGCTACTTAAAACAAACACATTTCACATTATTATTGTGGTTCTTATCAAGTAAAACATTATCTTATTAAAAAGGATAACATTAAATGTAATTAAATACATAATCAGTGCTTGAGCATCCCTTGGGGTCTGCCGGTAGGGGCTGCCTGCCAGATTGAAATGTTTCTAAAATTGCAAAATAAATAAATAAATAAACAAATTTACTACGGTGATGTATGATTTCGTACTATGGGAACCGATTAGGTCGTTGGAAGATCGTGTTGCTAACAATATGAAAGAATATTGACAAATCGATGAAGGTAGGCAGAGCAGAAACGACAGACGCACTGATACCCCTTCTGATGTGACCAGAAGGAAAAAATAATAATTTCGAGGGGGAGGTAAGGTATCATGATATTTTATTAAATATTTTAAGGGAAAATTAATATTTTAAAAATAAAAAGGTCACAGACTCGTCATTTATGAAAACAGTACTATAGCTATACATATAAAAATAAGAAGAGTACATTTGAATTATACTTCGTCTTTAATCTTTGCCTTTACTCTCTTGAGAGAAATCATTAAAGACACACTTTCATGTGCGCACGCTCCATTGTTAATGAGTGTGGATTAAATCCTGAGTTAACAGAGAACGTTTATCAAGCATGTAAAATAATTTAACCTGATCTTTACCAGTTTGCATTACTTTGCAAGTTGTATTCAAATACTTTTAGTGAATTTCAATAATATTCAATAATCACAACCACATTGACGATTATGATTTTCCCACAACAAACATATTGAATGACAAAAATAACACTTAGCTACAAACATTACACCCCATAAAAGAAAAAGGAAAGGAGGAAAAAAACTAATTGGGAGAAGAAAAATAAATAAATAAATAAATTATAATTGCTAGATAACTGGAGGTAAACTGTCAATTAGGATATAGCAGCCCCTGAGCATTCAATGTAGGAAAGGCTGCCAAACCTCATGAAACTTTCTTGTAGAGCCTTGGATGGGATATTTAAGGTGCTCGAGTTTAAGATGATTCTAATATCCAATGTTTGTGGGATGGTGGGCTTGCTTTTTGTTCCACCTGAGAAGAATCAGGAGTCTAGTCAATATGAAGAGAAGGCAATGATTTCTTTATGATTAGCTGCTTGCAAGGTTTGCAAAAAAAACCTAGTCTGGAAGCGGGAGTTTGTTCAACTCGTTTTGTGCAACTGGCTTCAGCACAGCTTGAAAGATGCAGGTTGCTAGGCTAATGTCTCGGTTGTCATTCCCGACAGCTAACTGTTGAATCAAGAATGTAAAAACTTCCAAAAACGTTCATTTCGAATGATTCATCTGCTCTCATGATATTATTAACCACTGCAGATTTATGGAATGTTCTCTCACTACATTTTCCTTCAGCTTATTCCCTGCTTTATTGGGTGTTGCCACAATGATAAAATATAGCAAAAACGGCCACTTACATGTACAGTATATATGTTCCCCCCAACTACTGAAATCACAAATATGTAAAGAAATGTAATTGCAATGGCTGGAAAAAAGATATGATTTGTTTTGCAATATTTTGAAAAATATGTTGCATACATGACATTTTTATATGTGAAACTTGAAAAATTTGAACTTTTATATTATACGCATATAATACCCTATTTTAAATGTGAGTTTGTATTATTGATTACACATTGATTACAATATTTTTTATTAGAAAATAGAAATGTAGAAAAGCACAATTTATCAGTCTGACATTGTCTTTTTTTGTTGTTTTATTTGTTGTAAATGTAGCAGAAATCAAAAGCTGTATAATGTTGAAAAGGGTAAACCGATAGTTTGATAATCATAAACTACAATTACAATTGTGAAATTACAAGATGTTCAAAAAATGAACTAGAATGTGATTGTGAAAAAATTCTTAGAATTTTCTAATAATTTCCTAATAATTTACTGTGTGAAGGAATATATCTTGACACGAGCTTACTGCCACTATTTATCAACATTTTATTTTATTTGTGTCAGTACTTTAAAACAATAAAGCTCAATGATAATTTTCTACGATTTGCATGTTATTGTTACTTTTAATCACTACCATATTACACGCTGGCAGCATAAAATCAACAAATTGAAATCTTATCAAGTTTAAAGTTAAAATTTTTTTATCAAAACCACATTGTTCTCTTGATGGTACAGCATTTCAGACAGGTTACTTACATTTTGAAATAAAACAAAAATTTAATCATGATCAAGAAAAAAAACAACAATTCAGTGGTAAATGTGTCATTTGGAACTGTCGTGGCTCATGGCGAAAGCTATAGGTGACCTATTATTTAAAAGCGGAATATTACATAATTTATATTATGTCTCCAAAGCTTGTGAAAACAAAAAACATAGCATATGTTAATGATTTTAGTTTATAGTAGATTATTTATTAAGTATCTGTATATGACATGGGACTGTTGGTTAGAACATTTCTGCAGTGGTTTACATGTGTCAAATTGTAAAAGTATAGACTTTATATCCTACTTAATAATAATAATAGGAGCGATGCGGTGGAGCTTTAGATAGTGCTGTCGCCTCACAGCAAGAAGGTCGCTGGTTCGAGCCTTAGCTGGGTCAGTTGGCGTTTCTGTGTGGAGTTTGCATGTTCTCCCTGCGTTCGACTGGGTTTCCTCTGGGTGCTCTGGTTTCCCCCACAAGTCCAAAGACATGCGGTACAGGTGAATTGAGTAGGCTAAAATTGTCTGTAGTGTATGTATGTGAATAAGTGTTTGAGTGTTTCCCAGTGATGGGTTGCAGCAGGAAGGGAATCTGATGCCTAAAAAAACATATGCTGGATAAGTTGGTGGTTCATTCCGCTGTGGTGACCCCAGATTAGTTATGAAAATGAATGACTAAATGAATAATAATAATAATCGTCATAATCTAATATGATTAATAAAGTATGATTTTTTTCATTTCCTAATAAATATTAAATTTCATTTCTTAATAAATAGCCTCATTAATTATTTATTTAAATGATTTATATATGAGATTAGGATACGTGTTAGCTTTTGTAAGTGATTTTAGGTTTTCGAAAAGAATGTTCTCAGTAATATTTGTAAAGGAAACATTGGTCCTTGTATGAGCTGTCAACGCATATTTCAGTTAATATGGAAAGTGAGTGCATGTTTTTATCAAAACTAATATAAAATGTTCTTTAAATGCATGTGCATGTAAAACAATATAACTGGCACAAAGAAATTATGGGGTTCTTCTCTCTCCATTAGCTATCAGGTATACCTGTTCAGATCCTGTTTATCTCCACCGTCTGTGTCTTTCCCTCCTCGTGTGGTTCCCTCCTGGTTGTGTGTTTCCCGATCTTCTCCATGTCCAACTCCACCATCACTCCTACTACAAAAGAAAGACTTTACCTGTTTGCCATATTACTTGTTCGCATCTTACAATAAACTGTCGTTCCTACTCACAGCTCTGGTCTCAGTCCAAAAACACTTTGTGTGCAAATAATAAATTAAAAATCTTCTCTCTCACATCAGTGTGAGTGTTTACTATAGTATGTTGTATAGCTCACGGTAAATGTGGACCCTAAAGACATAGGTGAGCAAGGTGAGCATCATTTTTTGAAACACAAAATATTTCTAGACTTCTGAATGTCTCTGGACTGTTGTTAATGTAACCCCCATCAGTTCTACACCACCCAACTCACTCTGAGCTGGCGATCTTCCGCATGGGAGTCGGTTGCTCTAACAAGGAGGCTAAAGACCATGACCTCTAGCGTCTTAAGGTTTACCTGCACAGCTCTTCACTAGCTGGCCTTCTCTACACTCACCCCCCTAAACCTCACTTCCATCCTGGTCATGGCACCATTGTAACTCCAACGGTCCTACACCACCCAACCTGCTCCAAGCCGGGATCAAACCAGTGACTTTCCACATGGGAGTCGGTTGCTTTAACAACAAGAGGCTATGGCGTCTGTCGCTAGATCAACTTTAGAGGTCAGAGGAGTGAGGTTTACCTGCAAAGCGTTTCACTAGCTGGCCTTCGCTACGCTCATCCCTGTAAACCTCACTCCCATCCGGGTCAAGGCACCATTGTAGACGATTAGTACTCGGTTTTCTTTGTGCTGTGTAAAGTAATGATCAGATCTGACACCAAATCACACCTTGGACGGATCGTTTTATTCTGGTAAACAGATTACAAACACAGTGATCAGTTCCAGCAGTCTAACATGGCGTCCTGCAATGATGAGTGCATGTTATCCATTATAAAGTAGTCAAAAAGAAAAAGATACATTGTGAATAATAATGAAAATAATAAAAAACATCAACAAAAACATATATTTTGCAAGAGCACTCACTCATCACTCTTTTGGCTGCGAGAATAATAATGACCAGTAAGAAACTAGTTTATAATGCCACTAGCCAATGAACAGAGAGGGGGTCATTTAGAACTTAAGGGCTATGAACATAAAAGAAAAGCAAGTGGAGGCATTTTTAAAAGCTGTTACACTAACAATGTTGAATGAGCACTCTCAGATTTCATCTCAAATATCTTAACCTGTGTTCTACCACACAGACCAGGGAGATAAATATGATATTAATTACATTTATTTGATGAGTATTTTTTGACAAAAGTATCATTCAGCAGAACATAGGATTTCTTTGGCGGAGGCAACATTTGTAGCTTAAATCAGAAGTTTTTAGATCCTGCTGTGACTGCCAAGGACTAAGGCAGGGGTGGAGCCTACCTCCCTGGACAGGGCCGACCTGGTGAGGGTGCGGAGGATGGTGAGTGAATGTCTGCATCAGTCTCTGCAACCAAATGAATGAAATGAATGGACAGCTTATATATTGCTTGTGTCTCTTGGCTACTGGTTAGAACTTATTGTGATGAGTGACGTGACATTAGGTCTTCCTGGTAGGACTAGCGCTAAAGCTACAATTTTCATGTTTGGCACAACTAATGCTTTAAGGAAATAACATGAACCACATCTTCTAAAAATATCACTGAATCCCAAGATTAAAACTTAAAACATGCAGAAAAAAGCACTTGGGTAGATAATTCTAAGGCAATGAAATTGAGACTTTATAAAGCCCAAAGGCATCCAAATATACTTTAGGGCCAGTGTTATAACCAGTATAATGTTACAAACACTTTGAAGTAAGCAGAGAGTAAATTTTGACTGAAGTGTGTGTCCAGTTTCCACATGACTTAAACATCCATCCGTCTCTCCAGAACAGGTTTGAGAGGAGAATACGGGTGTGGAGAATCACAGCCCAGTAGCTGACGTGTAGACGATTCCCAATCCCTGCCGATCTCCAGCCTGCTGCACACACACGGATACTGTCTGTCTGTCTGACAGGCCCAGTCCACGGCCCTCTTCACCGCCTCCCAGTACATCAGTCTGAATGGAGAAGAGCAGAAAGTCATGGATGCACAGATACTGGAGTGACTCACTATGAGGACGCGTGCTGGTACCTGGGCTCCTGGGACTCTTTGAGTCGGAGGAGAGACTCGAGCAGCCGTCCCACCTCCAGCTTCTTCACCCGGATCAGCTGCAGCACCAGCAGAGTCGCCAGCAGCCTCAGAATATCAGCATGAGCTTTCACACCTGACACACAAACATCTGACTGACTCAAGGGTTAAACACACATAGACCTGTCTGTATATAACAAGCACACTAAAGTTTAAAATATGTTGAGCTTTATATTCAAAAGCACTTTCTCAATCTAGTACACTCTATAATATCATAAAGTAAGGGCACACGTGTGTTTTTCTGTGTTCCTCAGTTTCATAAGGCTGATAATGCCCCTAAATGGCACACATGAATGGTAACTGATCTCTTAAGATTTTAGTAGACAGTCAAAAACAAAGCAGCAACAGGCAGTAAAAGATATGTTACCTAAAGATTGGATGCCTTTCTCCTTAAGGAAAATGTTGGCAAAAAAGTCGACGTCCAGGTTGAAAAATCTGCTCATCCTGCCAGTGCACTCCCAGTATCCATCCTTTATCCAGACACAAGCAATAGAGTCACATTCTCTTGATTACACATTTTCATTTTATATATAGTCGAGTGCATTAAATGATGTGTAAACACCTCGTGCTGAAGCTCAAACAGCTCATTCCAAGGCACTGCAGTGTCAGGTCTGCTTAATTCTTCTGTCATGACTGGCTGATCCAAGATCATCTTACGTGTTTTCATCTGTTCCCATGGGTGAAATCCTTTAGATTTTTTTTTCATTTTTATCATCGAAAGTTTAACCACAGGTGAATCTTCTAAAGTGTGAGTCAACTCAGGTTGTGCAGGAGTCAAAGTGTCAGTTTGCTGGAGTAGTTGGAGATTTTGTATTGCCTGGTCTTGTTGCCTAAGTAGGGATGATCCAAAGAGTCCAGAGGTTGAGGAACCAGATTGTGCACTTTGGAGGGAACCACCAAAGCCTCCAAATACAGAGCCTTGAGGTATAGACTCTGCGGTTTGACCAAAAGCAAATGTAGAACATTCACTCCTGCTAAAATATCCATGTTCACTGCTTGTAGGAGGAGTAAAAACAGGAGGAGGAGGAGGAGGAGGAGGAGCAATATCAGGAGTCACCGACATGCATTGTGCAAATGTAAGAGGAGAAGGGAGGAAATAATCTTCACTGAGAGGACGAGCACGATGCCCACTGGTAATCGCATCAGCAGAAAAAGAGATAGCACTTTCACTCGAGGTGTACATTACTGGCATACTATTTGCAAAAGGAGGACTGTGACCTGCAGCCGCAATCTGGTTGGCAGGAGGAGGAGGACAACTGTCTCTCATGAAATCTCCTCCAGACATTTTGACAGCCTGAAAAAGAGGAGGAGGAGGAGGAAGAGGACGTGAAGGAGTCATTGAGAGAAATTGCTCTAACCTGGGCATTGCATGTTGACGCATGGATTGAATACGAGGAGCAGCTCCTGGAGCACCAGCAGGAGGAGGAGCAGGAGGAGGAGGCCTGTTAGTCATGGAGAAAGAATCCAGTGACTTTTCCCATATTTCAGAGGCTTGAAGATTGGAACCCTCTATTAAGACGTCACACAAGCGGGGACAAGAAGGAGGAGGGTGAGAGGGAGGGGGGGGACCACTTGTTATACTGCAAACATTGCTAAGAGAACGGCCGAGAAATCCTGCTGAGCCAGCGTACCGAGGAAATGCTCTTAAACGTAAATCACGAACGGGCACCGAAGGAGAAGGGGGTACAACAAGATCATCAAAACTTTCCTCCTCCGAATTATAGCATAAATAATCAGGAGTGGCTTCTTGAAGAGCAAAACCAACATCAGAAGAAGTTGAGAAGAAGTGTGAGTCCTCTAAACTGTATTTCGCACAAAGATAATCACTTGCTTCCACTAATTCCATCTGAAAAACAAATGCATTCAAATTATTGCTGTGGACACTGAAGAGCTAAAAAATAATGAAACCAACTGTGATTGTTAAACCACACGACTCTTTATGTTGTTACCAATTCATCATCTTCAGCAGCAGCTTCAGTCCACCCCATATATGGCAGAATGTCCACATCCTCCTCTGATATGAGTTTAGGAATATCTGTGAATCCAGTGTCAAACTCATTCGCCTCCTGCAAAGAGCAAATGAGGACATTCATTTTCCATTTTTAAGTGTTCAGTTTGATTCTTCATTAATTCACAACATTTTATTAGAAAAATTCAGACGTTTTGTAAGAGCATGTGACGACCTGTCTGCCCAGATGGTTACTTCTTCTTTATTATTAATATATTATTTATGTGTAAACTGGTATATTTGAATAACAACCTACCTACAACAAATCAGTGTCAGTATTAGAGTAAATGTTCTGGCCATATCCAAGTGTATATGCGTGTGTGTGACCTAAACACTGTTAGTTAACAGTAATCATACTGTACCCGCTCTTCGATGGCGACAAAGCTTGTGAACTGAGACAAGATGGAGAACTCTTTACTGAGCTCAATGATGAAGGACTTCAGCTCTGCTTTCTTCTCCTGATAGGGAAAACAGCAAATCAAGAAAGAAAAGAAAGCACATCACATCATTTAGGTTACAATGCTGGTTATATTAAAACAGGAACATGCAGTTAAATATTGTACCTCATGTTCTGCCTCACTGTTGCCTAGAATGCCATCTTCATAGTTTCTGATGATCGCTCTTGCTGTTAACTTGTGAAGGAACTATATACACACACACGCACACACACACACACACATGCACACGCACACACACACACGCACACACACGCACACACACGCACACACACGCACACACACACACACACACACATACACACACATATGCACATAATCCTCAAACACTCTATGTCGTTTCAGATTACACAAAGTATTTCAGACGTTCACTCACAGTTCCCTTCGTCTTCTGTAGTTCTGTGGTGGAAACCATTGTTTTGATCTCCTGCCCACTCAAATCACCAAACAATGTGGCCTTAAAGAATAATTATTACACAATTATAAACTATAAACAGGCAAACAGTTATGAAATCAGCTGCATATTGATTACTGTATTATTATTTTCACATTCAATTTCGATTTTTTTCATCCAAATTTCTTTTACAACCTTCTTATTCATGTTACCAATATTAATTGCTTCACAAGGTTTTCAATAACCAAATTTAATAAAAATTGTCTTTTTTATACAGGAAATTTTCCACATTTCCTGTAAATGAACAATTATATGCAGGATATTTCATTATTTTCACTCATGACACTGTATTAGATACTATATTAGTACATTTACAGTAATAGATGTCCAGTCCTCACGAATAACATTCAGGGATTTTGTAAACTGTTGATTCAGAGTTTTGAACCAGTTCATTGACCATTTTAAATTAAACTCACCAACTCAAGCTGCAATACTGAACAAATATTAAAATATTGACTAAAATGTTGCAGTGATCGACAAATCTCAGCAGATATCGTGTCATTATTCATTAGTATTTACAGAACATCAGCATCAGTAAAGTATGTCCACCTGAGTGCAGTGCGGCACAAAGCCGTATACGAGAGTGTGCCAGTCACTGAAGAGGGAATGAAGCTGTGAGGGAGCTTGAACAGGAGGAGGCGCTCTGGGATTAAACTGCTGCCACTTCACCGCCACTGATCTGCAGCCTGGAGACTCCATACGCTGAACCTGAGCGCGCACCTGAAACCACCAGCAAATCTGTTCAGCTCCAGCCTCAGAAACAATGAAGAGATAAAGTTAACAAAAACAACAGCATAAATCACCTTTTCTGCCCAAGTGTGTTTCATCTTTGTGTCAAAAAACTCATATGTTCCTCCACCTGCCTGAGCCAAAGCTCTGAGCATATGACGATTAGCGGTCAAGCTAGACAAAGACAAACACAAGCAAACTCTAGCTTCAGAAACTCACTGTCAGAGGAAGAGAAACACAAAGAGACTTGTTTAAAGGCAGACCTGAGTCCGCAGGTGAAGAGACGCGTGTGGCAGGAGTTTTCTCTGACCAGCTGTAGAGTCACAGGCTGGTTCTGAACATGTCCATCAGACAGCAGCAGGACGTTCCTCATGCCCTGGCAGGGGGGCAGCAAGCTAAGACTCCGGAGAGGACGCCACAGATCAGTGCTGCCACCAGCGCCGCTACACGACTGAAGACAGGACAAATACACTGATACACACAATCACAGTCAACTCTGACTCTCATTAAACTTTACTCACCATAATAAACTTCCTGGCTGCTTCAGACGCCTCATTTAAGGGCACCGGTGCAGGAAAAGCTTCCTTGTAATCTGTTTAAACACACATTAGAATTGAGAACTAGTATATACTGCCATGCACACATGATCTCTCAGACAAATCACAGATTAATGATGAACTGAAAATGTTGACATGATGATCAGTGAGAGAATATCAGATGCTTTCAGTAAACACTAACCAGTGCTGAAAGAGATGATGTTGATCTTCAGTGAGCGGGCCAGAGATTTGAGCACTTGAAGGGCAATCCTGCGGGCGTTCAGCATCGCTTCTCCCTGCATAGACCTGGAGGAGTCCAGCAGAATGACCACATCGCTCACACTGGACGATCCTCCAGAAAGAGACAAACCGCTTGACTTGAAGTCTGGATAAAACACCAGCATGCAGGCCTGCAGGGATCAGATGGATGCATTCATGCTTAGTTTGATTAGATTACTTCATGATGTTCAGCAAGATTGGGCGAAATACAGACAACCATGACAGATGTGTCTAATAATTTCTTTACCTGACTGTCTTTTTCTGGATGGTTCTCAACCCACATCCTGGGCATGTGAATATTAGAAAGACTAAAGGACACCTGTAACCCATCAGGTCCCAGAGTCTGTCCTGGTACCGTGCTGATCACTGCCTTACAGTCGGTCATCTGAAGAGGAAAGACATTAGTACTGTTCATACTGTTCATACCTGAATCTGCTACTTTACGTTAAAGTACACTCATCAAAAATTAAATTCATTTTTGCTCACATTTTACATCTAAAACATTTCTGTGTACATAAAAAGTCTACTTCTGACAAATATTGTTCACACATCTGTCTATCTCTGTTTTAGTGAACACTTCTCCTTTGCTGAGATATTCCTACCACCTCACAGGTGTGGCATATCAAGATGCTGATTAGACAGCATGATTATTGCACAGGTGTGCCTTAGGCTGGCCACAATACAAGTTTTGAGAGAGTGTGTAATTGGCATTCTGAATGTCCACTAGAGCAGTTGTCCATGAACTGAATGTGCACTTAATTACTATAAGCCATCTTGAAAGATGTTTCAGAGAATTTGGCAGTACATCAACTAGCCTCACTATCGCAGACCACATGTAAAGCCTAGTCTGAGACCAGCCACCTGGACAGCTTCTGTAACAATCGGTTTGAATATCCAAAGAATCTCTGCACAAACTGTCAAAAATTTTGTCAGGAAACCTCTCAAGCATGCTTGTTGTCCTCCTTGGGATCTCAATCTGATTGTTATCATAACTGACCTGAGTGGGCAAACGCTCACATCTGAAGGCACTTTTAAGAAGTGTTCTCTTCACAAAGAAATCCTGGTGTTCACTGTACAGGGCAGATGGCAAAAACCATGTATGACATAATGTGGGGGAGCAGTTTACTGATGTCAACTATTTGAATCCAGTGGCCCATGGTGGCAGTTATGGTATGAGCAGACGTGGGTTAAAGAACAAACACAGCGGCATGCAATTGATGGAATTTTGAATGCATAGAGATACCACAATGAGATCCTGAGGCCCATTGTTGTGCCTTGGATCCACTAATATCGCCTCATGTTGCACACAATCTGCACACAATTCCTGGAAGCAGAATACATCCAAGTTCTTGCATGGCCAGCATACTCGAAGGACATTCACCTATTGAACATGTTTGCGATGCTCTGGATTGTACTATAAAACAGTGTGCTCCAGTTCCTGCCAATATCCAGCAACATCACACAGCCATTGTAGAGGAGTGAACCAACATTACACAGCTCACAATCTACAACCTGGTCAACTCTGTATGACCGAAATGATCACACCAGATGCTGACTAGTTTTCTGATCCCCCCACCCCCCTTAATAACAAAGATTTAGGCAAATGTGTGAACAATAGAAATGATCTTTGCTCACAAAAAATGGGAGCAAAAACAAAACTGTTGCATTTATATTTTCGTTGAGAGTATTTCTGTAAGGAAATGTACAAAAAGTAAATTAATAACCTTGGTTTTGATTCGGTGTGAACAGTTTAAGTTGATGATCTCATAAGGCATTTCAATGGACATTGACAGAGAAAACTCCCTGAAGAATAAACAAAACATTAAAGAAACAACATGTGGTTTGTGACATTAAATAATGAGCTTTTCTATTGTTTCTCCACAGCAGTTTAATCTTCAGTGAACTTCCAGCAATTGAGACTCTCACCCCTTTGACTCGGACAGGCCAATCTTTTCAACAGTTGTCTGAAATACAACACAACTCTCAGTCAAAACACTGAAATGAACAGCGGGCAAATGACAGCAGTGAAGGACCAACCTGAGTTGTCTGGTTAAGGGCGGCGCTCTCTTGCCATGGTGCCACGCTGCCAGACAGTGAGAAGACTATAGAGCCCGATCTCACCACCAGCTCAGTGATGAACGTCACCTTGATCAAAACTGAGGCTCCAGGAGGAAGATTCCCCACGCTGATAGTAAACACATCCTGATCACATAAACACATGACCTTAGACAAACATTCCTGTTCATATCAGCCACACAGCAGTTATTATTATGACTAGCTCATCTGTAGGAAATGATGTTCAGGAGCTCACAGGTGCATCCTGGTCCATCAGGTAGGCTCCATGACCTTTCTCTATAGCCTGCTTGTACTCCTTACGAGCCTGCTCTTTTTCCTTTACCTACAGCACAAAGAAACACTTGTAAAATGAACAGAAAATAGCTTTAAATATCAGCTGAACGTGACAAGCTGTAAATGATTTGCACCTTTCCAATGACATGCTTTCCATTGATAAAGGCTTCAAATCCACACACTGCTGCCGTCTCCTCCAGTGGAAAGACAAACTTTGCTTCAATGGGAACAGCACTCTGATTTGTGTAGGTCTGAAAAATGATGACCTAGTGACAGAGCAGAGAAAAATTTACAGTCAGCTTACGAACCCCCCCCCCACCCCCCACAAACATTCAGTTATAGTTTATAGTTACAATATTTTAGGTATTTTGGTTTGGTAAAGGGTTTGATTTAAGCTCTTGAGTTTTTAATGTTTTTGTTCTCATGGCTTTAAATGTGCCCATTAGGGGTTGTTTTAGATCTATTTTCTGATTTTGCCTTGTGTGAAAGGAATCCTTTTGCCTCTGTGAGAAAGAACACACCTCACCCATCAGGTCCATCAGTTTGCACTTCACATTGACAGCCTGTAGAGGAAGTTTCTGACCACTGCTGTCCAGCAAACCTGCATTCATCTCCTCCAGAGGATTCTTAGTAGACTCCAAACCCTCACTGTCATCACTGGACACTAGTAATAAGAAATAAGAGAGAACAAAAAAAGATTAACAGCACAAATTACATTACATTAGTATTGTGTTACCTCTATTGTGCCAGTGCTGAAACACTCCAGCCCAACATGCCTGAATGACTACTGCCCTGTAGCACTCACACCCATCATCATAAAGTACTTCCAGCGGTTGGCACATCTGAAAGACTCTCTGCCATCCACACTGGACCCACACCAGTTTGCCTACCGTGGCAAAAGGAGCACAGAGGATGCAGTCTCCATAGCACTGCACAAATGCTGTTTATTGACTTCAGCTCAGCATTCAACACTGTCATACCCTCTAAGTTAATTATCAAACTTAGAGACCTGGATATCGACATGTCTCTCTGCAACTGGATTATGGACTTTCTGACAAACAGACCTCAGAATGTTAGATCAGGCCACATCTGCTCCACCACCATCACAATCAACACTGGTGTACCACAGGGCTGTGTGCTGAGCCCCTTCCTCTACTCCCTTTTTACCATTGACTGTAGGCCTGTGAACTGATTCAACATTTTCAAATTTGCAGATGACACCACAGTGATTGGTCTAATCAGCAACAATGATGACACTGCCTACAAGGAGGAGATACTTGGTGCACTGACAATAATCTGCTCCTTAACACCAACAAACTGTCCAACGCATCACAGGGACCACATTGCCAGCCATAGAGAATATCTAGAAGAAACACTGTCTGCGCTGAGCACGCAGTATTCTTAAGGACAACTCTCACCCTGCACACAGACTGTTTTCACTCCTGCCTTCCGGCAGGCGCTTCAGGCTCCCCCAGACAAAAACCACCAGACTGAGGAACAGCTTTTTTCCCCAGAGCTGAACTCTGCACCCCACTGACTCTTTTTACCCCCAATACATCCCCCACTCTCCACTAACTTATACTCCTCACAATCACTGCACTGTTTAACATTTGCACATTTAAAATTTGCACATATTCATTGCACTACATTGCACAGATTCAATTATTTGAACTCTACATACCCACAGCACATGGACATTTGTAATCATGTTTATCTATCTGCACACTTCTGATTATTAATAGCAACCTATACATATATTCATTTATTGTAAATCTCTGTTCATAGCTAAAACAACCTGTATACAATGTTCATAGTAAATCCATCTGTAAATATCGCTATTTTTTTATAACTGCACTTTATAACTTATAATTGTATCCTGCACTTGCTGCTAGTGCACTGCTGGTTAGACCTGAACTGCATTTTGTTACATTGTACTTATGACAATAAAGTTGAATCTAATCTAATCTAATCTAATATGTACAGAGCATCAAATCATCCCAAGAAATGATTTCTTTCCACCATGTCAACATTTTTTATACATATTAGAAACTACAGATTGAAGATTATATAATTATTCTAAACCACAAATAAATGTAATAATAATTATAACCACTATGATAAGAATGACAATAATAATTGTATTATTAGTAGTATTTATATTTACATGGTATCCTATTTTTAATTACAATACAAGTATCTCTCATTTCTCATATGGCACCTGTCACATGTTTGCCTGGTCCTCTGTTTCTTTGTTCTGTTTTCCTGATGCAATTATCTGCTCACAGGTTTTTATTTTGTTAATCTTTACCCAGTGTATGTCGTCCATGTCAGTGTCAGGTCTCGTCCATATTGTGCATGTTAGCCCTTTATTGTATTATTAAAGAGCTTACTCTCATCACTCTTGTTTGAGATCACGGAACACACAAGTGATAAGTCTATAGAACTGAACAACACTACCCAAGCAAAGCTGCCTTTGGAAAGTCCTCAAGGATGCGTTACTGTGTTCGTAGAGTGGGTGCTGGTGAACAATGGAACCAATTTCACCACTGACCCCATTGAAGAGGACTTCACAGATCAAGATCCAGAATTTAGTCTGTGATCCATCACCCCACTTTTAAAGCATAATTCAATGCATCAATGCATCGCAATTATTTCTCTTAAGATACTGGATTGATACTTAAAAGTTCAGAATAGATGTTTTATTCAAATTTGATTGTGAGGATTTGGGCCTGTGCAGGCATAAGCTCTAAACAGAAAAAAGTGCTGAGAGGCGCACATACAGGTCCTGCAGAATTTGTTTCAATTGGACAGATGGATACAGTAATTGCAGGCATGGAGCTTCTGATCCTTTGTGTGTCCACATTCCTCACCACAACCGAAAGCAATACCTTGGGTCCTCATCTCGACATGGATAAAAGACCATCACCTGCAGCTCAATCTGACTAAAACAAAACTTCTTGTTTTCCCTGCAACAATATTCATAAATCAATCTGAAGTCAGCTACAAATATCCCTCCCAATTCAGTCAGGAATCTTCGAATGACCTTCGATGACGAGTTATCCTTCAAAGAGCACATTGAGGTTTGCACAATACAGCATCAGAAAAATCTGACCCATCCTCACTGAGCACTCAGCACAGATTCTTATCCAAGTGCTAGGCAATTTCTAGACTAGAGTACCGTAATGCTCTCCTAGCTGGACTCCCATCATCTCTTGTAAAACCACTCTAGTTCCTGCAAAATGATCCAGATCAGCTAAATTTCAACAGCCCCTACAGAGCCCATGTCAAACATCTTTTTATTTCCCTGCACTGGCTACAAGTTGAAGCTTGCAAGCTTTGTATTATTATCACTTGATGCGAGTATGGGATAAATGGATTGATCCCTTCCTGATTGTAAGTTGCTTTGGATAATAATATCTACTAAATGACTTAAGGTGAAGGTATCTAAGCAGGGGAATAGGCTTAGAGGAGGATTTGAGGTAAAACTGAGACTTGACATCCAAATGGGCTAAAACATCATGAAATAATTGTATAAACAAATTTAACTGACAGCTCTAGTTGAAACCCATTCCCCCACATTTAATACCTGGTAATGGTAATGGTATGTGCCGTTCACTGGATGTTGCTTAAAACTTACAGACGTCAGTCGGTGTGTCTGTGAGCTCCAGTAAGGTACTGATTTGAGGCTGGAAGTCTTTTAACTCGTCCCCCTCCACAGTGAACTGCACCACATACTTCAGTCTGATCTGCTCTGTGTTAAACACCACAAACTCATCGTCCTGTCCAATATAAGGCAAAACACAAACCCAAAGGTCACATTAGATCCCAAAACACAAGCAGAGTGTTAAGTACACAGAAAAAGACTAAGAAGAGCACCTCAAATTCAGAAAGTCTGTTGTGCGAGCGGCGGACTCCATGAACGCTGTGGAAGCCGTCAGGAGCACAAGTCAAACTGGTGTCTTTCTTCAGCAGGTCTTTGCACCGACCCAACGCCACTTCACACACCAACAGCAGCCGAGAGCCGTCAGTTACACTGGGCTTGGAGTATTTCACACTGGTCCTTTAAGAGGTAAAGTTATTGAATCACTGTGTAACAAGCTATAATATAGATGTGCCCTAAGTAAAATCATATTATTTATATGTGTTAATGCAATACTAAGACATGATGGTATAACACAACCTATAAATATGAAAAACTGTACATGCTATTAATGCACAAGGCTACTGACTTTAGTGAGTCACTGAAGTAGATTCCTCCTCCAAGATTCCCGATATCCGTCCTCTCAATTCCATGCAGTTCAACTCCAACCCTGGGCAGCAGCAGACCTCTACACACAATATTTAATCAAAATGTACATAAATTTAATGACTTATTAATAAATCAAATTAATTACATATATTATTTAATCAGACAATTTCAGATATGCATGCAGGATTTTGGAGGTACGTGTACTAAATACTGCATAATTGTGTGAGAGCACAATGTTACAAAAGCAGAGATAGGAGTGGATAGTTCTCTGAGTGATTTACTGACTGCACAAATTAAAAAACACAGATGAAGCTGCCCATTTCAGTAATAACCAAGTTCAGTGGCTTTTGGCTGTTAACCAATAGTCAGTTAATATAGCAGTTAATTGACTACCACAACTGGTAAATCATGTGAATCATATTGACTCATAATGCATATTTAATTGTACATGCCAATTTTTTTTGTACATGACAAGTTATTTCTTTTGATTAGCTTATAAGCTTAATCGCAGTCATGTACATACCAAGGAAATAGTTCACTTCCGCATTGAGAATAAGTTGGATTTGCTCTTACCGTGACAGTATTCCAACCAAACTACTAGGACTAGTGGAGTGGAGGAGGGGCTTAATGTTGCCTAACTCCTCCCTAAACATCTGAAGCTCCACCCCTCTGCTGATGCGCACAATCTGCTGAATCTGAACAGGCCTGTAGGTGATATAAGTTTAACACAATTTATGTTATGTAAATACATGAAAATTTCAACCATGCCTGAAAAAATACCACATAACATCACAGTCCAGTTTACCTGTCCTGAAGCAGTTTAGAAACTGCATGAAACTCAGGGTTTTCTGGTGGAACAAAGTCAATGCTGCACCTCAGAGCTCGATACTTTCCCAGAGACGAAGGGGACGGGCTTCCCAGAGTGGCTTCACTCACATTCACAATATCTCTGATCAGCTGGAGACCACAGGAGAATGTTAAGTTCATGTCTTTACTGTTCAACAACAGCCTCGTGATGAAATCCCCCAAGTAAATTATCTTATTGTCTTATATCTCATATGAGCAGTATATTGTAATACTAAAGTCTTAATGGTCCTATTGTGGTATAATAAATGTAATACTATGTTGGTTTACACATTACCTGACAAAGGTCTAGTTTCTGAGACACAAGCTTGTGTTTGGACGGAGGGTCGATTATTCTGAGGGGCAGGAGTGTGTTAACCTCCTCTAGCAGGGCTTTGGCTTCATCTTCATTCTGAGTCTTTTGTGCCTGCAGTAACAATCCTTCCACCCTGCTCACCTGCAACAGCACAGAGACCTTAAACACACTGTAGTAAACAATCCGAATATTCACTGTGTGTGATTAAATAAGCTCCTGCTCACATCATTGAGGCTGATTCTGGACACTGGGACTGTCAGGATGTTATTAAGAGAACCGAGAGCTTCAGTCCAAATCAGCTCCACGAAGACACCAACTTCCTTTGATAATGTGCTGCAGTTCAGCCTCTCCTCCAGCAGAAGCTGCCAATCAATCAGTCACACACACATTTCACACACATTAGACACAAATTATACATAAATCACACACATAAAAATAGATGTTTGTGTTTACCTGCTGCAGGCTGTAAGATGCCAAGTGCTCAACCTCAGCAGGAAGTGTGTGTGTCTTTGTGAATCCCTGAGTCTCCATGTCCTTCATCAGCATCAGATAAGCTTCCACAGCATCTTCAGACGTCTCACAGAAAACAAGCTTGTCCTGGAGCACTGCGGTCTATAGTGAGAAAGAGTCCATCAGCACAAGAGCACAACATTCAGTACCTGCAGTACAATCAGACTCAAATAAGAACAATTTACAATAATAAACAAGTTTCAAGAGCAAACCTCAGCTTCACGCAACACTGAACAGAGCACACGATACTGCTGGCCTGCTCGTCCATTGACACTCTGCAGCTCCAAAACAGACAAAGTCTTGGGTTTTACCTGCAACATAATCAGACAGTTTTAAATTGGTGATGGCTACAATAATCACTTTTAGAAAGAAGTGTTTAAGGGGTCGTTTTTAATAATTTAAGTATTCCCCTGAATTATTTTATGTGGTTGGTGTCAATAAATTGTTATTTTTGAGCTCTGATACGTACAGTATGATTTATAGTGAATTGAATTATTGTACTGACTAAATATAATAGAAAGGCATTGCAATGCTAAAGTACAGCTGAAAAACCCACCGTTCCTTATATAAGTATTCTTTACTGATACAGTTTATTAGAACTGAATGAAAGGAGTTTTAATAATTGTCGTATTTCTGGAGCAGATCTATTTGCTTCAATTTGCAACACTAGACAAACTAAAAAACTTTTTTCATTTAAATTTATCCACAGAGCGGTATACTGATAAAGAAACATGCAGAAGCTGTTCTAATGTCTGCCTGTTTGGTGCTCAGTGATCTGTAGGGCCGGTCAGAGGCCAACAGTTCAAGTGGTATATACACTCACCGGCCACTTTATTAGGTACACCTGTTCAGCTGCTTGTTTACGCAAATTTCTGATCAGCCTATCACATGGCAGCAACTAAATGCATTTAGGCATGTAGACATGGTCAAGACAATCTGCTGCAGTTCAAACTGAGCATCAGAATGGGGAAGAAAGAGGATTAGGGACTTTGAATGTGGCATGTTTGTTCGTGCCAGACAGGCTGCTCTGAGTATTTCAGAAACTGCTTATCTGCTGGGATTTACACGCACAACCATCTCTAGGGTTTACTGAGACTGGTCCAAAAAACAGTAAATATCCAGTGAGTAGCAGTTCAGTGGGCACAAATGCCTTGTTGATGCCAGAGGTCAGAAGAGAATGGCCAGACTGGCTTGAGCTGATAGAAAGATAACAGTGACTTAAATAACCACTCATTACAACTGAGGTATGCAGAAGAGCATCTTTGAATGTACAACATGTCGAACCTTGAGGAGGATGGGCTACAGCAGCAGAAGACTATACCGGGTGCCACACCTGTCAAACTGAGGCTACTATATGCACAGGCTCACCAAAATTGAACAATAGAAGATTGGAAAAACATTGACATCTGATGAATTTCAATTTCTGGTGTGACATTCGGATGGTGGGGTCAGAATTTGGCATCAACAACATGTAAGCATGGATCCATCCTGCCTTTTATCAATGGTTCAGGCTGCTGGTGGTGGTCTAATGGTGTGGGAAATTTTCTTGGCACACTTTGGGCCCATTAGTAGCAACTGAGCATCGTGTCAGCGCCACAGCCTACCTGTCCATTGTTGCTGACCATGTCCATCCCTTTATGACTACAGTGTACCCATCTAATGATGGCTACTTCCAGCAGGATAACGCACCATGCCATAAAGCGCAAACCATCTCAGGCTGGTTTCTTGAACATGACAATGAGTTCACTGTACTCAAGTGGCCTCCACAGTCACCAAACCTCAATCCAATAGAGCACCTTTGGGATATGGTGGAATGGGAGATTCACATAATGGATGTGCAGCTGACAATTCTGCAGCAACTGCGTGATGCTATTATGTCAATATGGACCAACATCTCTGAGGAATATTTCCAGTACATTGTTGAATCAATGCCACAAAGTATAAAGGCAGTTCTGAAGGCAAAAGGGGGTCCAACCCAGTACTAGTTAGGTGTACCTAATAAAGTGGCTGGTGAGTGTAGGTTATTGAGATTGAAGTCATAATGTTTGTACTGTGACAACAATTGGCTCTTTTTTATTAAAATATTAATGTAAATTATATTTCATGACTTGACTCTGATAATGTAAATAATGCATTAAGTTGCTCACCTTTTCAAAAACCGAGTACTTGGCCACTTGAAAAAATGAAGGGAATTCAGGCAAGTCATGGTCAGCACCTTTGTATACTCTGATAAAGGTAAAGGAAAAGATCAGTTAAACAAGCACATCCAAATAAGAGAAGTGTTAAAGAAACAATGAACTATTGAACAGCTACTGACAGTGACAAAGAACAAAAGCACACCTGAATTTGCTAGCACGAGGTCCACCCTTCTCAAGAATCTCAACCTCTGCGTTTGGGAGATCAGGCTGACCTTTGAACTTATTTTTTTCTAGTATCTTGGTCGACACTATAACCCCTTTAAAGAGAAAGACAACAACATTGTTACATAGTTTAATCTCACTTAAATGTGCTTTAATCACAGCTGCAGTCTCAAATACATTTCTCAACCAAATGTAATGCAACATAAACATACAGTATACAAATACTGAACCACACCCTTTCAGCAAACACAGCTTAGCTACCATAGATACAATTTGCTTCAAACAAACATCTGTTCAAAAAAACTATGCAACACGTATTTGGTTGGTAAGTTAATAATTAATCTTCTAAACACAACTGCAGTCTGAGGAAGTGCTATGAATAAAAATCTAAGCCACACCTCATGTTCACATTACGCTAACATGACCACAGAAACAATCAGTGTTCATGAACTCCTACATGAGGAAGTTAAATCTCCTACTGTACCTGGAGAAGGGAGGGATTCATTGGTTGGATATGACAGCTGTGGGGTTAAATTATGCTCCGTCAAAGGCAGAAGATGTCCTTCATCCACACAACTCCACACATACTGCGTTCCAACCACCGGGATCTGGAGCTTCTGGATGCTGCGCTGCCTGTTACTGCTCAGGTCATTCACACTGCTGGTGACCACAAAAGAGCACTGGAGAAGATATAAGGAGGTCACATGCCACATATCAACCCTTTGATGACTCAATTTAGAAAATCAATATGAACATTATCTATACAAATCCTATGTTCTTATTGCAGCTAACTAAAAACAAAGTATAAAATGTTTTAAAACTTTTAAACAAAGCATAAATCGAATAATAGAAATCAAAAAATGAACCTCTTTGTTGATGGTGTAGGAGATGTTTCCTCCATTCTCCAGAAGAGCTGATTTCAGCTTCTGCTTCTCTTTAAAAGGCACATTCTTCACATCAAACACAACAGTACAGTTTTCAAACACTGTCATGATGCTGTCAGTGTCTGAACAAGAAGAGAAAAGAAAGACTGCAGTGAAACCTTATCAATCACACATGAGCTCTTTAAAATTACTATATTTCTTCTATTTTCTTGTTAACCCTAATTAATAAACACCTTTAAAATAGTACTTATTTAGCATGAAATACGTTAAATTATCCTTCTTTTTACTTAAAGACATGTCACAAATCCTAGTCAATGATCCAACTGCTGTTGCTATCTATCTCTCTTGATAGTTGTCATGTCATTAGCAGTCGAAAGAGCAACTTACTGTCTACGAAGTTAGACGAGCTGTGACACGTTAAGATTTTAGGAATATATAGCAATATGTACAGATAGCAGACACGAATGATTTGGTGTGTGAAGTTCAGTAAAGAAATGCTTCCTGAAATACAGTAAAGACACGCCTACATTCCCCTGAGATAACAACATATGACGAGCTCCATCCAGCGGCAGAATCCGACCTTGCTAAATTTGAAACTTGTTTTTAAAAATCCTTTAAATCAGATTAGGTTTGAGTTTTTTCTCTCTAAAGCTTTGGTTCTTTTTTTAAATCTTTAGAAACAAACAATACATCTATCGTGCTATGTTTTCCAGTACTGGGTTGCAGCTGGAAGGGCATCCTCTGTATAAAAAGTATGGTAGATAAGTTGGTGGTTCATTCCGCTGTGCCGACCCCTGATAAATAAAGGACTAAGCTGATGAAAAATGAATGAATAACAGTACAAATTTAGAGAATTTTGGGGAGATAAAAGAAAAGTTTGCAGTGAATTTCAACTGAATTATGAAATTCTTTAATTTCACAAATGTTAGTTGAGGATATTTGATCTTTTCACCTTTTTTTGCCTCACCTCAGTCTGCGTGTCAGTGTTAAACATTTTACGACTTTATGGTAGGTTACATTGTAACATGCTGATAACAGTCCAGTAAGTATATCAAAGGTCTTTGGATTGCTATAGCAAACATTTAAATAACTGATTTCATCAATAAAGAGACGCCTATGCAAATTTGAATGGCAACACCACGTTCAATATTTAAACAATTGTAATCGTTTTAAAAATAACCCAAATTACTTAATGAAACCCAATTTTATTTTCCACTTCTTGAACAGCGATCAGATTCAGCCTACTTCTGTTTAAAGCAATGGTTCATCCTAAATCATTTTAATAGTATTTTTAGGGGGCTCATTTTTATTTTCTTATTATAACATTAAATAATATTTGAGCTCAAATCGTGGTCTGGAGCTTTGAGAGTAAAAAAATGCAACAAAACAACAGGCTCATATATCATATTAAACTGAAATTGATTTGTTTTGTGCAAGAGACTGAATGGCCCATTGATCACATAGAAATGTAATGCATTGTTTATTACAATGTAGGCCTAAAGGAGAAGGACAATAGGAGTTCTAGATTATGCATTTTAGGTAATGTAATCTGACAACATTCTTAATTACCTTTGATTAATTAACTTGATTCTTAATCTCATCAAATAGATTAATAAAGAAAATAAATTAATTAAGCTAAAATTGTCCGTAGTATATGTGTGAATGAGTAAATGAGAGTGTGTGGATGTTTCCCAGTGATTGGTTGCAGCTGGAAGGGCATCTGCAGCAAAAAACATGTGCAGGATGATTTGGCAGTTTATTCCGCTTTGGCGACCCCAGATTAATAAAGGGACTCAAAAAAAATATGAAAAAAATATGAATGAATGAATGAATAATTCACATACATCAAAGCACACACAATATTTTTTCGAAACCACAAATTAACCTTGATTTTGCTACAAAAACAGTTGTTACTCATGGTATTTGTTGTCAAATCAAGGTTACTATTAACTAACATAAAACCTTTAAAAATTCATGAATTTAAAATTAAAACTTTTCATAAATCACTGTTACATGTATTTTATTTAATATCTATAAACTTTGATTAACATGTTATGCTGCTTATAATTTACCCTGCTTAACAATTTATCTTGGGAATTAATGCAAAATCATTCACACTGTACATTCCTTAACACTGGCTTAACATTCTCATTTGCATGCATTGTTAGTGGCTATGACTGGATGAATGCAGCATACAAATTCACATAAAATCTAGTTAAAAAGTTAAACAAAGCTTAATAGTGGTTTAATAGTGTACAGACAAAACCCACATACACACATTTAGAATTAACTGTTCAATATATTTGTATAAATTTGGGCAGTTTATTCTTGCATAATCACAGCTGAATTTTCAGGATTATTACTTACATAGTCTTACATAGTCTTTGAGCCGCATGACACTTCTGATTGGTAATCTGATGGGTTGTTATATCATCAGTGTATAAAAACAGATGTGCTGTGTGGTACTTTTTTTTGCTTTAACTGGTATATTTGTTCAGTATTCTTTGATGTATGGAAAGCAATAAACAACATATATTTAAATGAATAGAAATTGTTGATATCAGTGGTGTAGTCCTAAAAAAAAGGTGGTGTACTATTACCGACCCAACCCAAATTTTAAATAAAAGTATACAGGCAAGGAAACGAGTGTTCAACTGGTAAAGGTTGAGTAAATTATTTTTTGGGTGGACTATCCATTTAAAAAGGAAAAATATTTAAACTTTATTTAAATTTTTTTTTAACTTTAAAGTAAGAATCTAATAGTCTAATTCTATTCAATGATTTATAGCTAACAGTGCCCCCGGGTGCCACGGTGGAGCAGTGAGTAGCACCATCACCTCACAGCAAGAAGGTTGCTGGTTTGAGCCTGGGTCAGTTAGCATTTCTGTGTGAAGTTTGCATGTGGGTTTCCTCCGGGTGCTCCGGTTTCCCCCACAAATCCAAAAACGTGGTATGGGTGATTTGGGTAAGCTAAATTGTCTGTATAGTAAATGAGTGTGTATGGATATTTCCCAGTCATGGGTTGCGGCTAGAAGGGTATCTGCTGCGTAAAACGTGCTGGATAAGTTGGCGGTTCATTCCGCTGTGGCGACCCCAGATTATAAAGGGACTAAGTCAGAAGAAAAAGAATGAATAAATGAATAAATGAATAATCCAGAGATCCAGAGATTGGCTGACTATATTTAGCTGGTAAAACAAAACTGTTCAACTCTATAGGGACTTGTAAAATGAGCCTATTTCTAAATATATATTTTTTATTTATTTTAAAACTGTACAAAAAAATCATGTTTTAAGGCATCCATATCAAGTATTATATGTTGTTAACATAAACTGTAAATTTTAAATAAAAATCAGGAAAACAAAAGCAAAGCACACTTCTTTAAAAACTCAAATAAGCTGCACTAGCTTATTTAATCATTTTAATATTGAAAAAAGAATCAATCAAGTAAGTTACAACAATTTAGTTAACTTTCAAGTTTACTCAATAGGGTCTGTTCATACATAAATAAACAGCTTTTTAACTTACTTTCTTTACTATTACTTTACATTTAATAGGCGGCTCCTTCAAACATCAATCAGCCATTATGTTTGATTGTCACATTTGTGCATGCTTGTTTTAAACCAAGCTAATAGGAGTCTAGATATAACACTAAAAACAATAAAGCAAAGACAACTCATAAATCATGTAAAAATATCCGTTCTTTCCCTGTAGTGGTGGGCACAATTACAAATACTGTTTAACAGAATTTCATTCATTTTTATTTTCTTGTCGGCTTAGTCCCTTTATTAATCCAAGGTCGCCACAGCTGAATGAACCGCCAACTTATCCAGCAAGTTTTTACGCAGCGGATGCCCTTCCAGCCGCAACCCATCTCTGGGAAACATCCACACACTCTCATACACTACGGACAATTTAGCCTACCCAATTCACCATGTCTTTGGACTGTGGGGGAAACCAGAGCACCCGGAGGAAACCCACGCGAACGCAGGGAAAACATGCAAACTCCACACAGAATATATATATATTAAGTTAGAATTTAAAAATAATACACTTTAAAATATTTGACTATTATGGCAAGGTTGTAGCAGTATTCCACTGTATTGTATAGACTGGCATACACACATGTGTGTGTGTGTGTGTGTGTGTGTGTGTATATAAGCATAATAGTTTACAGCCTCCTTACCCTTTGTGTATTACTCCACCCAAATACATCCAGCAAAAAACCAACCTTTAAAGTTTAAAATATGCTTGCTCAGCTGTTAAACTGTCAGCTTATGATTTGAATCCAACGCGGAAGAAAGTAGTTCTTCATACAAAAGGGTTTTTGAGACCCTGAATGTTTGATTTTGTTTTTATATACACAATTATGGTTGTCAAACTGCTGTATAAACGCAATATCACACTCGTAGCAGTGGACATGCGGCCTCGTCATAAACGGCCTCGTGATAAACAGCCATATCAGGCAGAACATGCAAACTCCACACAGAAATGCCAACTGAGCCGAGGTTCGAGCCAGTGACCCAGCGACCTTCTTGCTGTGAGGTGACAACACTACCTACTGCGCCACTGCCTCGCCCTATATATATATATATATATATATATATATATATATATATATATATATATATATTTTATTTTTTTATTTTTTAAGTTAGAATTAAAAAATAATACACTTAAAATGTGTATGGAACTGTATTCCACTGTATTGTATAGACAGGCATAGCCATTTGAGTTCTGAATGAGCCAAATAGGCTTATATGTAAACATATTTGTTTCTGACATATATGGGGCATACATGTTTCTGGCATATGTTTGGACATTTATGTTTCTGACATAAATAAGACTTGTTCTTAGTCAGAATTATTAGCCCCCCTGAATTATTAGTGCCCCTGTTTTTTTTTTCTCCCCAATATCTGTTCCCAATTTATTTCCCCAATTCAGCACATTTCTAAGCATAATAGTTTTAAAAACCTATTTCTAATAACTGATTTATTTTATCTTTGCCATGATGACAGTAAATAATATTTTACTTCATATTTTTCAAAACACTTCTATACAGCTTAAAGTGACTTTTAAAGGTTTAACTAGGTGAATAAGGTGAACTAGGCAGGTTAGGGTATTAGCCAAGTTATTGTATAACGATGGTTTGTTCTGTAGACTATCGGGAAAAAAATAGCTTAAAGGGGCTAATAATTTTGTCCCAAAAAGGGTTTTTAAAAAATTTAAAACATACTTTGAAAATTTCCTTGCTCTGTTAAACATAATTTGGGAAATATTTATAAAAGAAAAAAAAAATCAAGTGTTATACATGTAGGGGACATATATGCTTCTTGCATATGTGTGGATATACTGTATGTTTCTGACATGTTTAAGACATGTGTGTTTTGGATATAAGGACAAATATGTTTCTGACATATATGGTAAATATATGTGCTGTACATGTAGAGGACATATATGTTTCTGGCATATATGGGACAAGTGTTGTAGGGGACATATATGTTTCTTGCATATATAAGGACATATGTTACTGACATATATGGGACATAAATGTGTTTTACATATATGGACATATATGTTTCTGGCATATATAGGACATAAATGTGTTTTACATATATGGACACACAGTTGAAGTCAGAATTATTAGCTCCGTGTTTATTTTTCCTCCCAATTTCTGTTTAACGGAGAGCAGATATTTTTCAACACATTTCTAAACATATTCATTTTAATAACTCATTTCTAATAACTGATTTATTTTATCTTTGCCATGATGACAGTAAATAATATTTGACTAGATATTTTTCAACACACTTCTCTACATCTTAAAGTGACATTTGAAGGCTTAACTATGTTAATTAGGTTAGCTAGGCAGGTTAGGGTATTTAGGCGAGTTATTATATGATGATGTTTTGTTCTAGAGTATCGGGAAAAATAGATTAAAGGGGCTAATAATTTTGACCTTAAAATAGTTTTTAAAAAAATTAAAAAATGCTTTTATTTTAGCCAAAATAAATAAATAAAACAAATAAGATTTTTTCCAGAAGAAAAAATATTATCAGACATATTGTGAAAATTTCCTTGCTCTGTTAAACATAAATTGGGAAATATTTAAAAAATAAAAATAAATAAAAAGGGGGCTAATAATTTTTACTTCAACTGTACATGTTTCTGACATATATGGGACATATATGTGCTATACATGCAGGGGACATATATGTTTCTGGCACATATGGGACATATATATGTTTTAAGTATATGGCCATATGTGTTTATGGCATATATGTGGACATATTTGTTTCTAGCATGTACAGTTGAAGTCTTATTAGCCCCCTTCAAATTTTTTTTCTTCTTTTTAAAATATTTTCCAAATGATGTTTAACAGAGCAAAGAAATTTTCAAAGCATGTCTGATAATATTTTTTCTTCTAGAGAAAGGCTTTTTTTTGTTTTATTTCGGATCGAATAAAAGCAGTTTATATTTTTTTAAACACTATTTTAGGGACAAAAGTATTAACCCCTTAAGCTATATTTTTTCTCGATATTCTACAGAACAAACCACTGTTATACAATAACTTGCCCAATTACCCTAACCTGCCAGGTGAACCTAATTAACCTAGTTAGATCTTTAAATGTCACTTTAAGCTGTATAGAAGTGTCTTGAAAAATATCTGGTAATATATTATTTACTGTCATCATGACAAAGATAAAATAAATCAGTTATTAGAAATTAGTTATTAAAACTATTATCTTTAGAAATGTGCTGAAAAAATCTTCTGACTCTGAATTCTGAATTTAACTGTATGTTTCTGGTAAATACAGTTAAAGTCAGAATTATTAGCCACCCTGAATTATTAGGCCACTTGTTTATTTTTTCCCCAATTTCTGTTTAACGGAGCGAAGGTTTATTCAACACATTTCTAAAGATTTTAGTCCCTAAAATGGTGTTTAAAAATTAAAAACTGCTTTTATTCTAGCCGAAATAAAACAAATAAGCCTTTCTCTATTATCTCTATCCATTATCTCTATTCCTATATTATCAGACATGCTGTGAAAATTTCTTTTCTCTGTAAACATGATTTGGAAAATATTTAAAAAAGAACAAAAAAATTCGAAGGGGACTAATAATTCTGACTTCAACTGTATGTGGACATATGTTTCTGACAAATATGGGACATATATGTACTTTAAATGTAGGGGACATATATGAGACATGTTTCTGACATATATAAGACAAGTTGTTATCATTATAAATGTCTTTTTTCAACACCTTCGACTAATTTACTAAATCTTTAATTTCTCTAACTTTAAATTAGCAGAGTGTATCAGAATATATAAGGGACATTCTACCAGAAAAGTACATTTTCACTTATAAAATATCTGACAGGGCCTGACTTAAGCTCATTGTTGTCAAGAAAGTAATACAAAACAAGCTTAAAATCATACAGTTCAATGTTAGAACGCATCCTTGATCACTGTGAGCTCAGTTCTTCTCCATCAAATGATCTCAGTTCCGAATCATAGTCTTAAACGTGTATTAAAGGCATTTGATGTTAAATTTAATACAAATGTGACTGCCTAGTTAACCTAATTAGTTAAGCCTTTAAATGTCACTTTAAGCTGCATAGAAGTGTCTTGAAAAATATCTAGTAAAATGTAATTTACTGTCATCGTGGCAAAGATAAAGTTATTAGTTAAATGTAGTTATAATTATTTATTAAAACTATTATGTTTAGAAATGTGTTGAAAAAAACTGCTCTCCGTTAAACAGAAAACAGAGGAAAAATAAACAGGGAGACTAATAATTCTGACTTCAACTGTACATGGTCCAGATGGTGTTCCAATTACAAACTACTGAAACCAGCTTTATTAGATTAAATAATGAATATTTAGAAAAAAATATTCATATTTTGCTCAGCATGCATAAAAAAAAGAATCAAAACAAAAATAACCTTTTTTGTATAAAACAAACAAACAAACAAACAAACAAAAATATATATAAAGAGCATAAAATAACATACTTTAAAAAAGTACAATGCCCTTAATATCCTACATCTGTTTTTTGGCTTTCACATCATGTTCACTGTAATGAACTAACTCTGCCTTAAGCAAAACTTGACAAATCAGTTTCAGCGCTTTCAAAAATGCTGTGCTTCACGTCAACAGTTGTGGCTTTCAGAAGGTCAGAGAGGGTCTGTACTTCAGAGGAAAGCTCTTCTGTTACGCTCTTCACATAATGAAGCTTCAGTGATCTCAGATAATGATATGACTCAGAGGACATCATGCAGCTTTTTACATTTCATTGCGAATAGTGTCCCTTTTGTGAGAAATGCGTCATCCATTACTTTGACATTAATAGCAAAAGGTCAGTGCCAAGTATCTCTTCACATCATCTGTAATTTTATGACATCAAACAGACAACTGTGATCATGTTTTAAATGGTTTTCTTAGAAGGGATAAACTAATACTGTGTTGTCTGGTGCTTCTTGAACACTAGAGGGAGCTGTTGACCCTCTTAAGAAATGTTTCTCCTGGTTACTTGTGTGAATTAAAAGGGATAGTTCATCCAAAAATGAAATAAATTGGCATCTTTTACTCACCATTTTGAGGTTGTTGTTTTTTGTTGTTGTTTTTGTTCTGAATAATGTTGGAAAACATTTTGAATAATGTTGGACATACTTTACCATTAACAAGGGTTATTTATTAAATGGTTTGAAAGTTACAGGTTTTTGGCATTCAACATACCCTTTTTTGTGCTTAACTGAAGAAAAAACAGGTCAAGGGTTAATAAATAATGGCAGAATTTTTAATTTTGGGTGAACTGTTTCTTTAATGGCGCAATTTAGTCTTGTGCACATTTTGTAAAACGGTTTAGTGTTGTAGAATAAATGTGACCCTGGACCACAAAACTTGTCAAAAGGGTCAATGTTTTGAAAACTGATATTTATACATCACACAAAAGCTGAATAAATAAGCTTTCCACTGGTGTATGGTTTGTTAGGACAATATTTAGTTGGGATAAAACTATTTAAAATCTGTAATCTGAGGGTGCAAATCACAAAATTGAGATAATGCAGCAATGCACATTAGTAGTCTAGTTAAGTTTTAATATAATAACACTAGGAAATTAACAAAATATTTTTCTTGAGCATGATCTTTATGGGCGAGGTAGTGGTGCAGTAGGTAGTGCTGTCGCCTCACAGCAAGAAGGTTGCTGGGTCGCTGGTTCGAGCCTCAGCTCAGTTGGCGTTTCTGTGTGGAGTTTGCATGTTCTCCCTGCCTTCGCGTGGGTTTCCTCTGGGTGCTCCGGTTTCCCCCACAGTCTAAAGACATGCGGTACAGGTGAATTGGGTAGGCTAAATTGTCTGTTGTGTTTGAGTATGTGTGTGTTAATGTGTGTGTGGATGTTTCCCAGAGATGGGTTGCGGCTGGAAGTGCATCCGCTGCGTAAAAACTTGTTGGAT